GCCAGGAACTTCTTAATTTCCCATGTTATCAAACACAGAAACCAATAATTTCTTCAAGAACTACTAATATATAATTCTTCAAGAACTTCCAATTTACAGTTAATGAACTTGCTTCCAGTTATCAAACATGCCCTTAGAGAGAGAAAGAGAAAATTGAGGAGTGCCCAATGGTTTTATTGAGAGAGACGCAAGGGTTGTGAAAAGTGCACCATCACACCCTTTTGCGCATGCATGTCTTAGAGAGAGAAAGAGATAAAATTGAGTAGAGATCACTAGTTTTATTGAGAGAGCACATGCATGTCTTAGAGAGAGAAAGAGATAGAACTGAGTAAGTAGAGCCCACTGGTTTTATTGAGGGGTGCGGTTTGTATATAGCCTAGACTCTAAACAATCAAATTAGAGCCTACCTTCAAATATTGAATTCAAACATGTGGTGGGTGAAAAATGCTATCCAGCTCTATTGTTACGTAGCAAGTCCATGCATCTTGATGCAAGGGTTGTAAAAAGTGCACCATCAAGTGCCTTTGCGCTTGCGTGTCACATGCTTAACATACTCTGCTCATACACCTCCTCTCTCATTTGTACTTAGAATAGTTATCGGAATGCGTACTTTTAAATACAACTCAAAAAACTCTCATTTCAATGTGGGACTCAAACCGACATCCTTTTTTCCCTACAAAGCAATTTAAGAAAGAACAATAAAACCCTAATTGTTGTTTTGAAATACATTTAAACACTTTTCAAACAAAAAATACTAACAATACCCTAGTGAGATCATAAATCTCCATATTTTTTTTCTCTACTTCCAATCATGTCTTTTTAACCTTATGTTTTACTTTTTTTAAGCCTTCTACTTGAATTAACTCGCAGATCTTAATTGATATTGTTCCGCTACACATAATCAACCCATCTAAATCTGTTTTGTCTCAACTTATAGCCTATTAGAGGTTGGTCCAATCTGAACCATTCAAAAGTGAACCATTCAAAAGTGCTTGATGCACCTTTTGAACTCTGTTGGATGCAATACCATGCCATTGTAATGCTCTCTCTCCTCAGATAAAATATAAGGTTACCTCTCTCTCTCCCCTTATAGATTCCAAACCTAAAGGGTTCACCGTCTCTCTAGTACTTTTTACCTGTTACTGTAAAGTATAAACTATGCCCACAATCTGCCCCAAAATTTACCAAAGCACCCCTCTGTAGCATTCCGAAGCACTCCTCCATACCGGGCTAAGACACTTTCGCTAGGACAAAAAGCTTTCCAATAGAAATATAAGAAATTAAGAAGAAATCGACTGTTGAACCCATAACAAATAATAAAATAAGGATAAAGTTTCTATAAGGCTTAGGTTTTATGAAAGCAAAATAAAATCTCACTTTAAATCTTCACCCAAAAAGCATTTTCGGCAATAGAAATCTTCATGATGGTTTTAAAATCAATTTTCAACGCTGGCGATGACATTTGAAACTTAAAAAATAGTATGGATCTTGCATATTTATGAACACTTTTTTTTAGGGTGAAATGGACGGTATATATAATTTGTTATGATACCATATTTTTAGAGCTTGAAATCCTATTTTGTTTTGTTTTTACAACTATAATGTTCAAGCCAAGATAATCGATGTAAAGGTTTTCTAATGCTTGAATTCTAACTTTTTAATGAATTATAAAGTGGGGCTTTACTTATTTTAATATGGTTGTAGCCCTATCTTATCATTTTTCATTTTAAAAAAAAAAGAATATTGTTGTCTTTGTATATGAGGGATCCACGGAAATCATCACCAAGGCAATCGTGTGCTAGTCCAACCAATATTTTAAAAATTAGCGATTCATATCAGGAGTCGACAGTCTAAACCAAAAATGGTGGGGACTGACCTACTTCTTAGCTAGAACTAGGAGTCCATTCGATTTTGATACACTCACCGGATTGGGTGAGTTTGTCAAAGAATAACGAAATCCCAACCCGACTTACGGAATACTTGGTTCCAACCTATTTTATATGCTTATTATTTTTTCAATTTTTTTAATTTAAAATTATTATTTAGTTCGCTTTGAATCCATCCTCACCCTGGATAATCAATCCATTCCGGGACCAAGTTGGAAATTCCGACTAATCACATAGAAGAATAATGAGCAAATGATCCATTTTCATATCAACCACATAATGAACTACTTAAAAGAACCGGAAAACTTATCAATTAATCCCTTTGGTATTCACTCTCTTTCTCCAAAAATGGAAAATTTTAATTAAAATTTATTCGTTATATGATTCTTCGTTTTGCCAGAAGTCACAATGTCAAAGTCTATTTAATTTCAATATTGTCGTAAGGTACCGGTGCCGTCTTAGCTCAGCTGGTAGAGCGCGTGGCTTTTAACCACGTGGTCGTGGGTTCGATTCCCACAGACGGCGATCCCCATTAGTTTTATTAATAATCTTATTTTTTAATTTTTTGTTCATGACTTGAAAGGGAATGAAAAGTAAAATAACTTTTAAATAATTTTACGTTGCTTTTGTTCATGACTTAGAGGGAATGAAAGTAAAATAATTTTATTATTTAATGGGTGCAGTTAGCATACGGATGCATCCGTAGCTCTAGAGATAAAGTGCACCTTCAAATTTTATCATAGTATATTAATTTTGATGTCAAATATTTTTAGAATTATCTAAAAATCTATTTTTATATCTAATTATAAAATTTTAAATTTCACAAATGGTTAAAATTAAGTAGATCTATAAACATATGAAAATCTTGAAAATGGGCGGTGTATATAATATGTTGTAAAATGCACTATTTATGAGACTTAAAATCATTCTTTTTCTATTTCTATTTATGAGACAATCATTCTTTTTCTATTTCTGAGACAATCAAAGGGTTTTTCAACATTAAAACTACATTTTCCGATGGATTTTTGAGGTGCATCCATAGTGCTACATTATAATGTTGTATCCTTATATAAACTTTTTCCTTATTTAATAGTGTGGAGAATTTTATTATTTTATAATGTGAAGTGAAGTTTAAGTAAAATGAATTTTTTTAACCCTCGTTTTTCCTTTCCACCCATTAAAAACGTTTTTGGGTTGAAATAGTATAAAAATATTTTTTGGGGTTAATATTTATAATCAAAAGTCAATAAAAATGGAGATAAGGTATAAAGGATATGGTGAAATCTTTAGGGGATTTTTTATGCAGCTTGAAAGAAAAACAGAATGAAGGTCTATCATGAAATAATATGAGAAATTAAGATTCTATATGAAATTTTCCCATGATTTTATTGTTGAAAATAGACACATTCTCATCCAACTTTTTTCTTTTTAGGATTGATTGTTGAAATTAAAATAGTGTAATCCTCTGCATATCTCACACACAAATGTGATTCTCTTTTAAAATCATATCAACTGTCTTTCAAAAAAAAATAAAAAAATTAAAACAAATTATTTTAAACCCCTGTTTTTGTGCCTTTCATTTTAAAGAAGAATGGTTTGATAGGGATGCAACTCTATCAAAATAAGTAAATCATCAACTCATAACTCATCGAAAATTACAAGTCAAGTATTGGAAAACCTTTACATCGATCATCTCAACTTGAACATTGTGGTTGTAAGAAAAAATTTCGAATCTCAAGCTTTAAAAATAATGTTAAGTATAACAAATTATCTTTGTGTTGACCTGAAACGGCGTCAACACAAAGTTAGAACTTTGGAGGGCTGCCCTAAAATCTAAAAGTTTTAAAATTAATTGGACTAAATAGAGTATATAGAATACAAGTTTAGTAATAATAGGAATATAGATGAGGAAACAGTTAAGATTGACAGCCAAGAAAAAGAGTGCACTTTTAAAATATAAGAAAATGGAGATATTTAAGAAGATGTTGCATACAAAATTAGAGTTGGATGGATGAAGTGAAGATATACAACTGGAATCTTATGTGATCGCTTCATACCAATGATACTAAAAGGGCAATATCTATATGACAACTTTAATATCAGCTTTGATCTATGGGATGAAATGTTGGGTGGACAAAAAACAATATACCCATAGAATGAGTGTAGATGAGATGATGATGTTGAGATGGATGAGTGGCAAGACAAGAAGCGATAGAATTTGAAATTAATCCATTCGGGAGAATTTAGGTATGACACCAATATGTGATAAGATGAGAACTTATGTGGGTACCGACCAAATACAACACCTGTTAAGAAGTGCGAGTTAGTTCAAGTGAAAGAAGTAGGCCCAAAATAACATGGTTGGAAGCGGTCTAAAAAGATACAAGACTTGTGGCCTCATTGAGGATATGATCTTTAAGAGCAGAATGATCAAGATTCGTATAGCTTATCCCAATTAATTGAAAAAAAGTTATAATGATGATGATGATGATAACAAATTATCTAGTTAATCCATTTTGCCTTAAAAATAATTATTCAAAGATAGGCAAGATATGCACTTTTTTTTTATTTTCAAATTTTATTGTCAGTGTTGAAAATTGATTTTAAAGCCATCATTGATATTTCTGTCACCAAAAGTACTTTTCGGATGAGGATTTGAGGTGATACTTTATTTTGCTTTTATAAAGTTTAGGTCTTATAGAAATTCAGCCCTTTTTAAATTCTTTTTTACATCACAAAAATATTTTTTTTTGGAAATTAATTAAAGGGCACTGTTTCTATGCGGCCGACCTGCATATTATAGAAATGTAATAAATATGTTTTTTAAATATAATTTGATCCTAATGTTTAGATAATATATAATCTCTAACATGGAGATTATGAATATGATTTGTTTTAAACTAAAAAAATAATAATTATATTAAAAAAAACATTTCGACTATTAATTAAACTTATTTTTAGATGGACCATTATAACTCTCGACCACATATTGTCGAAATGCAGTCCAGCCGGCATGAAACAATTTTTCTTAATTAAAAAACAGTTGGAATTTTTCGTCATTATCAGAAAAGATAGAGGACCTTCTTTTATCTTTCTCTCTCCATCACGCTTGAAAAGTTTTTAAAGTCCTGTGCTCACTCTCCACCACACCAGCAATGGAGATGTGCATCTCGAGCTCCTTTCTTCTTTCTTTCTCTATCCCGTCTCTGCGTTCTCAAAAACCCAATTTCGTTTTTCCGAGAAAGACCCATCGTTCCTGTTCTTCTTGTGCAAATTTCTCTCTCCTCTCCCGTAGGTCATTCTCTCTCCTCTTTCAGGCATGTCCAGTTATCTCCCTCTGCTCCCCCAAAGTTTCTTCAGCTTCTGCTGTGATTTCCGACCAGTTTATTGAGCTTCAGGGATCTGGAGGTGTCAAATACTTTGATCTTCGAAATGGTGATGGAGCATCTCCAGTCAATGGCGACCAGGTTTGTGACCTCTTCATTATTCTTATTCCTCTGTGCTGTTACTATGGTTCTCAAATTGGGGATATGGGTTTTCAATTAGGGATCGTGAAATTTTTGAATTTTGGGTTCTCTTCGTATTTTGAGAGAGAGCAAAAAAATGACAGACATATAAGAACCTACAATATACTTTACATTGCATCTTTAAAGTGTCTTATGGAGTTAATAACGCCATTAAAGTTTCTTGGTTTCTGCATTTAAATGCATAGACCTTGAATTTTCCAGTGATTCTTAAATGTAACAATTCTTAAGAAGTTGAAACTCTGTTCTTATATTGCAATTAAGGCATAGCTATGCATTTTTCGATTTCGAGAAATTTATGTACTGGGCGATTGGTATTGTATAATGGTTTAGCCCTTGAATACCATATATTAATTGCTCCCTGATAAACAAGGAACTATTGACTAATTGTCAACAATTTAGTCACAGTAAGAGAAATATTGTTATTTCATTGTGTACTTCATTATCACTGTCATAACCTTTTTCCAACTAATTGGGTCAGCTACATTACTCCTAGTCTATCAAGGGCACATATATTTTTTCACTATTTCCAATCATTTATGTTAGTATTTTTTGTTTTTAAAAATACTTGTGTGTATTTCAAACGGACAATATGGTTTTTGTGGTTTCATAAAGCTGTATTTTGTATGGAGAGAAAGCTGTGGGTTCATAGTCCCACGTTGAAGAGAAGAGAGTAAATTGAGCAGAATTTAAGTGTAGGCATTCTCTTGCCTTATACTCTTATTACAAAGGTGAGAGAGATGGTACAGCATGCGAAGTGTGTGATGCGCAAATGTGTGGGTGTGGGCATAAGGGTACATGATTCCGCACGCTGGCATCAGTGCGTGAGGCACAACTCCGCCCAAGCACGTGTAAGGCAGGATGGGCTTGAGGCTTGATATCTTTTTGTGAGCATGGCTCGTGCGTGGGCATGGGCGTAATGATACTTGATGCTGCACGCTTGCATCAGCGCACTTCACCCGAGCACATGTACGGCGGGATGGGATCGAGGCTCGATATCTTTTTGTGAGCATGACTCGTATGTGGGCGTGGGCGTGGGCGTGGGCGTGGGCGTGGGCGTGGGCGTGGGCGTGGGTGTGGGCGCAAGGGTATTTGATGCTGCACGCTTGCATCAACGCATGAGACGCACCTTGCCTGAGCACATGTACGGTGGGATGGGCTCAAGGCTTGATATCTTTTTGTAAGCATGGCTCGTGCATGGGCGTGGGCACAAGGGTAACTTGAGGCCGTATGCTCGCATCAGCGCGTGAGGCGCACCTCGCCCGAGCATATGTATAGGTTGGCCTCGAGGCTCGATATCTTCTTGTGAGGATACTTCATGTGGGACATCCAATGGTCAACTAGCTGTTAAAGAAAAGGATGCTTGTAATAGTCGCCGTCAAGATTAAAGGGCGTGCATGTAACTTATGACTGTGGTGGTACATGTAAGCATGGTTACAGTAAAGGTCTTGCCTTCTTGTAACTCTATAACATGGGGTCTTTTTCCCATACAAAATAGAGACTTGAACAAACACTTCACAACTCTCTTTTCACACCATTTTTTTGCGAATTTCCAAAGACCAATTACAATGAACTCTTTCCTAAAAAGAAAACAATTACAATGAACTCATCTCTCTCTACTCATTTTTCTCTCTTCCTCTCTCTAAACAACACTCAACTCTGGTGTCTATTGTACGTTTCCAAGTTCGGGTGCATAGAGCTTTGAAACATCAAAAGAGACCTCTTTGTTTTCCTGTGTTCTGAGGACGAGTTGCCTTTTATATGCACACCAATTACAGTATCGAAAAGGGGCCAAATATTGTTTTGAGATAGTGCTCTTGCATGTCCGACAACATGAAGGATTTGAGCTATATTTTTTCTGTTTTCGTATTATCCTTTAGCTCCTTTTCACCCAACCAATTTCCAACAGTATCCTCATCGTGTACTTGCTAAATTATAATGACAACTGCAGTTTTTTTTTTGAAAATATACAATATTTTCTTGCTATAGTTGTATTACTTTTGACTTGTATAGCATGCCACTGTCTTTATTGACCTTGTAAATAGCCTGTACAGGTCTTCCTTTTTTTGGTTCTACCTTCTGTTTTCCATAGTGTGGTGCTTGAGTATCTCATCAAGAGAAGCATTGTAGTTCTTGAGAGAGAAGAGAAAGGGGTGGTGTACAAAAGGGACGAAGTGAGAAGTGGGCGAGAGTGAATAGTGATCGTGGGCCTCATTAAAAGAAAGTGGGGTTTCCTTGTTTAATTTATATATCCAAAAAATCATTTTTCATAAATCACACATTTCATGAAGAAAGCCCAAAAAGTGTAGTTATTTTTATTAAACTTAATCGACAAAAGTCGAAAGGATTCAGATTTTTCCATTTGGGCAAGCAAGAACAACAACCTTCAATTTCAAGATCAAAGAAACAGAATAAACCATAAGGAGCACAATGGACCACCAAGACCCAACCCTCCCACTTTCATTTTTAATCATACATCCTTAAAAAAAAAAGAAAGAAGCAAGCTACTTTTGTATTGTTTTTGTGAGAGGAAAGTGAAATGAAGAAGGGCCCTATCTATTGGGTTTTGCCTCAACCAAGAGGGCATAGATGAGAGGAAAGAAAAAGAGTAAAAGGTAGAGTAAGAAAGAGAGCGACCAAAAGTTTCAGATCTTGCAATTGATGGGGTGAGCCATTGGAAAACTATTAACCTACTAAATTTTGACAAGATGACGAAAAAACGAGTGTCGCCTAAAAGTTGTTGAAAGCTTGCCGGATTTGAGAAACCACGAGAGAGAAGGCGACTCAATTTTTGGTTGTCATGTCAGAACTCAGCAGGTTGTTGACAATTTTACAGTGGCTCACCCCATCGATTTCAAGATCTGAAACCGTCGGTCACTCTTTCTCACTCTATCCTTTATTCGTTTTCTTTCGTCTCATTTATTCCCTCTTGGTTGAGGCAAAACCCAATAAACGGGGGCCTTCTTCATTTCACTTTCCTCTCTCATTAAAAATAAAAATAAAAAAAGTAGCCTGCTTGTTTTTTTGGAAAGGATATAATTAAAGAGGAAAGTGGGAGGGTTGGGTCTTGGCAGTCCATTGTGTTCCGGTGGTCTATTTTATTTATGTGATTTTACAATTGAAGGTTGTAGTTCTTGCTTGGTGGTCCATTGTGCTCTTTGTGGTCTATTTTGTTTATTTGATCTTGCAATTGAAGGTTGTAGTTCTTGCTTACCCAAATGGAAAAATTTGAATCCTTTCAACATATGCCGGTTAAGCTTAATGGAAATAAGTACACTTTTTGGATCTCCTTCATGAAAAATATGATTCATCGAAAAGGATTCTTAGGATATATAGATAGAATAAGGAAACCCCACTTCCTTTTAAAGAGGCCCATGTTCACTCTTCCTTTTGCACCCCACTTCCTTTTGCACACCACCTTTTAAAGAGAGAGATTTGTCATCGTTTGGAGAGAGGAGTTGGCTCCATTGCTAGTAAAAAGAAGTGGGGTTTCCTTGTTCCCCACGTCATGATCTAAAAAAAAAAAGAAGAGAGGAGCGGGCGTCCTCTTTTCTGAATAATTGTCATGGACCATGGTGTACTGATAGAGCATCAAGAAACCAATTTAATAATCTATTTTTTTTATGCTACTTTTTTTTAAAAAAAGGTCTTGTTCCTAAGATCATATTCGCTTTGTATGTTCCTTTTCTATACGATCGAGTCTGTTGTTTTGTTACTTGATTATGTCTGATTTGTCTGTGAGCTGTTGAATGGGTCTCAGATTTGCATTGAGTTTTGTTGGCTCTTCCAAGTGCTATTCTATTTCTTCTGCTGTCTCAACTACTTTTCTGTCTCCGGCGAAAACTCTTTTTTGTGCGATGGAACTTGTTGTTCTGTTACTCGATCCTATCTGATTGATTGCGAGCTGTTGAATGGATCTCGGATTTGCATTGAGTTCTGTTGGCTCTTCCAAGTGCCATTTTATTTTATTGGTTGTGTCGACTGCTTTTCTGTCTTCGGCGAAGATCTGAAGTTTTTGTTTGATTGCTTGAGCCTACTTTGAAATGGCCGTCTGTTCCTGAGGCTTGCTAATATGTTGTTACTTGAACCTGCTTTGTCTGAGGCTTCTGTTTCTGAATATTGTTGATTTGCCGCTGCTCGAGCTTCTTCTGTTCCTGCCTTGTTTTTGAGGCTTGTCTTCTGCTATCCAAACTCCAATTGTTCTCTCTTAAAGCTTCTAGTGGGAAAATATAAAATATTTTCTTACTGCAGTTGTACTACTTTTGACTTGTAAAGCATGCCACCGTCTTTATTGATCTTGTAAACAGCTTGTACAGGCTGTATACCATTCTTGTAACCTCATAAAAATGGAGTTCTTATGCACATATTATGTGAGTTCTGTAATACATCTTTTATGGGGCCCAGAAATATAAAAAACACATAAATTTCACACTTTTGTCAGTTTTTTCTTTCCTGATTCTTGGGCTTTTATGTAATAGGCAGGGTATTTATTGCTGTCCATCTATCTACTCTGCTTTTTCTTGTGAGCTTTGTATGTCATGTGGGTGTAAAGGGGCTACATCTTGTTTGTACTACACTTGGTCACTTTCTAGCAAGGCAAAACATTTTAGGCTAATGAAATAAATTTTCAGCCTCATGGGGCTTGGTCTTTTGTAGGTTGCCATACACTATTATGGAAGATTAGCGGCGAAACAAGGATGGCGATTTGATTCTACCCATGATCACAAGGATGAAATGGGAGACCCCATTCCTTTTGTGTTTACTCTAGGATCTGGCAACGTAAACTCATTTGACCCTTTTTGATATTCTTGATTGCCAAAAAAATGTATAAGTAGCTTAGAGGGCTATTTTTTTTGTATAGCTTGTTGCATCAACAAAGAAACAGAAGTGTTGAGATTTATTGTATTTGAAAAGCATTGCAGGTAATTTCAGGGATTGAAGCGGCTGTGAAGTCAATGAAAGTAGGAGGCATTCGCCGGGTCATTGTTCCACCATCTCAAGGATATCAAAACACATCTCAAGAGCCCATACCTCCAAATGTATGCCTACCCTTTATCTAAAAAGCTTTTATTCTACTTTTTCGCTGATTTTCATTCTTTGGGGTCATTTGAATTGAGGGAAAATTTGATTGCTGTAAATGAATATTGTTCTGCATGCTATAACTAGGAGAGCTTTTATCTTACAACCCTTATGAAACATGAGAGACATTTTTACTCTCTACCTCCTCTGTGAATTTGAATGTCTTGAATAAACATTGCCTTGTTATATGAAGATTAGTTTGTTTTTTGGGTAGTTCAGCAGAGAATTCGAACTTGACTTAGTGCATAGTCTTAATCCATGGCAAGGAATGGGACTTCATTTGTTTATCATAAATGCCTTGAGATCCTCCATAATCTGGGACCATCAGATGTGTGTTTTCTTCATGTTGAAGATTTTCTCCAAAACTTTTATTTCATAAAATCAGGCCCTTTTTATTGGTTTTCTTGTTGTAATATATAATTGGAGGACAAGAAAACTTACTCTTAAAATTGAGGAAAGTTAGGGATTGGGCATTGGCTTGATTGTCGAGGTCTTGATGGTGGCAGTTCTACAACCAAAACTTGAATGTAGGCCTCCAAAGGGCTCGGTTCTGGTTTGGGTCAACCCCAAATTGGCAGGGTATTATAAAGATGTTATAATATACTTAGGTCAGGTTGACTGCAATCCAGACTCGAACCTAATCAGGTCCAGGTATGTTGGACTTGGACGTGAGCAGCTGAGTTTTAGGGTCCAGACCTGGACCATTTAGTAGCCCTTTTCAAATTGCACGTAGACCTACCCAACTAACTCTTGAAGCCATTCCATTAGGCTCTGTATCAATGGAATCTCATCATCCATACATAACGAATTGGTATGGTATATTCATACAACTAGAATTCTTATTGATACTGGAACTCATAGGGACGAAAATGGATTTATGGATGGAATCAAATATGCAGTATAGAAAGAAAACTAACTTTTAGAGCCGTTCCATTAGTGCGGACCTATTAAGGCTGCAAATCAGGTGGACCTGGCCCACAACCTTCAAAGCCGTGCTTGGCTTCTGATCAGGTTTCGGATCGCGGGCTGGGTCTGAGCTGCATATACCAGGCCCTGAATCAATTTTCTGGCCAGGTGTGGACCAGCCTTAGCCCTGTAGTACTGACCATAGTCTAGGGTATATATTGTATATTATGGATTATATACTTAAGCATATATGCGGATCATAGTTTATATAATTTAATTCATATATTAGGTTTTTCTTTTTGAAGATTGCAATTCATCTATGATATTATATGGTAAACATAGTATGTAATATATTGTACATTTATACAGTGATATATTTTTGAAATTGAGAAAAATATAAGAACTAAACTACTCCCAAAGCCGAATAGGGTAGGTTATTGCCCTAATTGGCTCTCTCTCTTACACACAATTTCCAAATCCTAAGAGAGATGGGTTTTTATTTTATAAAATCTTTGAACGAGAGAGAGAGAGAGAGAGAGACTAGCTGAGAGAGAGAGAGAGAGACTAGCTGTGCTCGGGCTGGGCACTTTTAACATAGTATTTCGGCTGTGCCCTGGACACCCGTTAAAGAAAAGTCTTAGGCCTGGGCAAGCCTTGGCCTGGCCCATTGGCAGCCCTAAATGGAATCGACGTGGCAAGCTGCCAATTCAAGTCGATCCTCTGTGACTGGCATAGGATGATTTGCAATAACATAAAAGCTAATTTGCATCAATTAAATTTCTACATAAAAATTATAAAACACATGAGAGAGAGAAAATACAGTCACACATCAAACCATGGAACAGAATACAGGGCAAAGACTATAAAGTGAATTTAGATTGAGGAAGACTGTAAAGGAGAAGTAGATATGGTTTGGAATACTTGATCAATGTTATGGATTGGAATATTTGATCAATGTTTCTTTTTTTAAATGCTTCAACTGTTTTTTAACACATTAATTTTATTTAATTTTAATTACTGTACCTTTAATTTGATTTGATCTATACAAAATAATTAACAATATGAGTGACTAGGGCTAGTCATTCAGAGAATCATCTGAGTCATCATATGACGTGTATCTGACTCAACCAACTTGTTGCTAGAAATGAGTTGTATATCTATATAGAATAGCATCAACACTATTTGATGGAGAGAAATGGGTGGAACTATCATTTATATTCATATACAAATGAACTCTTTATTGGAGAAAAAGGATTGTGGACATTTGTTGATAACACACCATGCCTTAGTAACCTTAACCACTCTCCACTGTTGAGAATGTTTGAATCACGAGCCAAGCACCACCTTGAATGTCATGATTTCCTTTAGTGCCCCATTGAAGGTTCCACCTTAAGTGATCATAAATGAACATTGTTGAGTTGACTTGAACCTATCTTCTTTTGATTGCTTGGGAATTGAATCGAGCGTTTCCATATGAGAAAGTTCCTTCCTCTTCAATGTACATGACAGGGAGAGAATATTGACTACTTCATAAGTTTAGGACCATGTTCTCTTCTTCTTTGTACTGCTTGATAGCTATCTCATAAATCATCCGTTCATTGCAATAAGCTTTTTCGTTTGATACCTGCCACATTGCCTTTTTTCGTCGTTCACAATCACCATTTCTTATGATCAGCTTGAATTGATGGTGACTCAAGAGCACCATGTATTGCTTCAGGTACTTCATTCAATAAAATACCGGAGAAAAAAAAATGACCTCACATATATATCTTAGAGATGATTGTTGATCTTCGATTTCTCTTTGCAACGCCCTTCAAACAACAGAAGGTCCAAATATGATGATACGACAGCTTTCACTATCATTACACCCAACCATTCCCTTAGTATTTCAAATGTGTATTTATGCATGCATTATGTATGTATATAGGTATCTAGCTATGTCTTTATGCATATATGTGTGCACGTATTTGCATTCATATATTATCAGAACACCCCGTTCTCCCTCCCACCAGATTTTTCTTGATGTATGCATTTCATGATTCATGATTAATTTATAATCAAGCTTCTGTTCTTTCTTAAAAATACCACTGATATGTGAAGATTTGGATACTTAAAAAAAGTTTTACACGAGGAGACAATGAAGAAGCTGATAAACTGACTCATAATCTATTGTTATTGGGGATTAATGTTTGTGTCCTTGTGACTTGTACTGTTCTTGTTAGGTTCTTTATGGATATTATAATGTATTGCATGGTTACCATTTGGAATCAGTGAAACATAATGACATTGATTTTTAGCTTTATCTAACTATGCGGTGATCTAAATTTCTAGGTATTGATTGGTTTCCTTTTTCATTTCATGTGCAGTTTTTTGACAGACAAAGGCTGTTCACAACCATTTTTAATCCTACTCGTCTTGCCAATGGGGAAGGCTCTACGTTGGGCACCCTTATATTTGACATAGAGTTACTTAGCATTAGGCATTCATAAAATCAACATTGGAGTTATATATCAGAGAGAGAGAGAGAGAGAGAGAGAGAGCAGAGAGAGAGAGTAATTAAAGAGCTATTTGCCAGCCAAAAAAGTGTCATTAATGATAGACTCCCCCCCCAAAAAAAAAAATGAACAGAGCTGACCTAGTTCTTCGAAGTGAGGAGAAACTGAGAAATGTTTGATTAAATAAGTTTCTCGTTGTATCTATATTTTGCATTTGATTGATAAAATCCAAGGTTCTTTAAGTAATGGAAAAAGTTTATATAGAGGCTGGGCTCTAAAGTATCAAGTTAGAGCCCACCTCAAAAATTTTAGTACAAGAGGTTGTTTTGATGCCCAAATATCTTCAAATTGATCTTTTTGACATCAAGATGCATAGACATGAGAAAAAAATGAAATTCAAGTTTTGGAAATAGTGCATCTTGTAATGTATTTTTGGACTGTTAATTTTGAAGATTTTCAAGTTTTTATAGATCTGTTTGATCTACACTATTTTTGAAACTTTAAATTTTATAATTAAAGATAGAAAATATATTATTTTCAATATTGAAACCGCATTTTTTGGCACTATTTGACTATTTGAATGTGCACTGTACTTTAATTGTTTAGAGCCTCGGCTCTATACAACCCGCACCCTTAACTAATTAAATGATTTTAGATTGTTGCCCTTGGATCAATGTTTGCAAGGTCACCTATAACATTGGATGTTTGGTAACGAAGTCATCTAGTACTTTAGCCTAAAACACCAATATTGTAAGATATTATATAAATCTCCTTTTCATAAAACCTAAGTAGTGGATAGAAAAGTGATAGAGCTATAATGGTAAGCTTGAATGTCTTAAATTTTAGTGCTTTGCCAGGCCCATGTAAATTTTTAGTATTTATTTTTTGAGTGTCTTAAATTTTTAGTACGCTTGGGTATGGTTTTTAATAAAACAGAAAGGGGAATCCGGATTCACGCGGCTGATTTTAATTAGTTGAAAAAAAGTTAAAATGATGATGATTTTTCAAGTATCTACAAGTGTCAAGATTCACGTCACGTGACTGATCTTAATTAGTTGAAAAAAAAAAAGGCTAAAATGATGATTTTTTAAGTATCTACAAGTGTCTGTCCACCAAGCATTGACCCAATACTAGCTCAAGGTTGAAGTGTTGGGGTCACATTGCCGGGATATACAAAACATGAAGGGGACTAAATGGCGAGTGTGCAAGGCACTTTTGTAGAATTTCTTGTATATTTTAATATATTAAGTATTTACAAGTATTATCATATGTCAAAGTATCAAATAACACTAGCTCAAAGCTAATGAGCAATGCTTTGAATGCTTGAAAATGGTAAGGAACCGAAACGAAAGCGTGCATGGTAATTTGCATGTAATCTACACGATTAATTTTAGAGCATTCAAATAAGAAGAATTGTTTCATGCAGGCTGGATCACATTTCAACAATATGCGATCCAGAGGTATAAAGCATCAAGATGGGTGCAAATAGGTGGTCCATCTAAAAACAATTGCAACTAACTGTCCAAATGTTTATTTAGTAAACTTATTATTTTTAGTTTTCAAATTTTTTCCTTTTCCATATCCATTATCTCCATGTTAAAGATTATATATTCTCTAGAGAAAGCATAGAAACCTTTATCTTTAAAAAATATATTTATTGCCAAGCCCATATTTCTATAATATTTGGGCTAGCCACATACTAACCGCGTCCTTCAATTAATAATAGCAGTAAATTTCTAAGCGTGGGATATAATAATAGCAGTAGATTTCTTTCAAATAATAATAGCAGTAAATTTCCAAGCGTGGGATATAATAATAGCAGTAGATTTCCAAGCGTGGGATCCCATTTTTTGAGGTTTGAAGTTAAGTTATAGAAACTTTAGGAAATATATTTTGTTTGCCCGAGGCCCAATATGATGGGGGGAAAGGTTTCTATACTTCCCTACAACATAGAAGATTTATGCTTTCTTTACCATCCAGCCGTCCAATTTTTATCAAGAGAGCAGCTCACCATTTGATCTTAGATCCGATGTCTCAAAGTATTTTATTTTTAGTTTTTTATACAAATTGTATGAATATGAAATTTGGTATGTGCCATCTTCTCATTTAGGTGCACCTATAAAAAATATTTAAAATAATTTTTTGATAAAATATATTGACACAAATACCCCTTCAAACTTTCAAGGGTATTTTGATCATTTTATTTTATTGAAAATATTTTTTTAATATTTTTCACTAGTGCGAGTTTAATAGAGAGTTGGTCTTTCAAAATTCGGTGTCAAAATAGCTTATAAAAAAAAAATTAAAAATAAAATAGTGTAGAGATGTGACATTGTGATTGAGACAATCTTAACCCTCTATTTAGAATGGACTGAATGGATGGTTCGATAAGGAGAAGTATACAAATTTTATGTTGTAGGAGAAACATAGAAAGCTTGCCCATTTGATGGCAACTAACATTTATGGCTAAAACATTTAGGTGAGGCGATTTGTTTAATGCCGAACCTCTCAGTGTCATTTTTATTCATCTCCCTTCAATAAATCCTAGATAAAAAATTGATTAGAAGCTCAAAAAATGCTCCTAACCACTTCTCGCTACATATATGACATTGAACCATCCATTTGTTGGATGATCAGATCAAAGGTCTCAAGAGCATGAAAACCAAAGAGTACAAAATTATTATTATTGTTATTTTTTTTTTTTTATGTTATCGCTATTATTAGTGTTTTTATATTATTATTATTATTATTATTTATGTTTTGGAACATAAACTGTATTTACAACGGGTGACTGAGGGTAATCTTTTGAAATATGCGCAATTGTTGGAGGAGTTGGAAGGTGTATGCCTGTTTCGGATTATGGAAGATGAAATGGTGTGAGAGATTGAAAATAATGGGATCTTTAGTGTTAAATATGCTTGTAACACACTTTTGAATGATAGGACAAGATGGAGTTGACCAACTTTGCATAAGATTTGGAGCTGGCCTATTCCTCTTAAGATGCATTTTTATTGTATTTTTGTTGCAAAGTGGATAACCTTATGAAGAGGGGCAGAATTATGGCTAGTGTTTGTTTCTTGTGCATAGAAAGTGACAAAAATGGGGATCATCTTTTCCTACGTTGCTTATTTTCATATAGGATTTGATGCTAGATTTTTTGGATACTAGGATTGCCTTAACTCGTCCTCGAAGGCACATGAACCTTTTGGAATATATGAGTCTCACTGGTTTGCCTAAGGTGGGAAAGTTGATATGGCAAATCTAAAAGGGAGTAGTTCTACAGGAGGTGTGACCGGAAAGGAATAGAAGAGTCTTTGAGGAGGTTTCGTTAGATCTAGAAATGGTAGAGAGAAGGATCTTGCATACGATATGGAGTTAGTTCTCTATGACTTCGGAGGGTTTTAGTGTTTCCAAAGTTGATGTCACTATTAATCTCCCCAATTATTCAATGGTTATCAAGGTTAGACCAAAGGAAGATGAAAGCCTTCGATGATTGGTTGTATAAAGTTAAATTTTGACAATAGTTCTTGTGGTAATCCGGGACAAGCTGGGTACGGTGGGGTGTTGAAAGACTCGTCTGGGGAGGTAAGTTTTTGCTATGTTGGCCCATGTTGGTTGGCCTTTGCAAATTGTGATGACCTTGAAGCTCTTTTACATGGCTTACACTTGGTGTTGCAGAGAAATTGTGGTCGTTTTACTATGTTGAAGGGGACTCTTGAATGTCATA